GGGAAGGATTGATGGGGCCGGCATACAAAAACCTCCGAAATCTCCAAAATTTTCAAATACCAAAACTTAAGGTAACACTTAACCCTCGTTTATGTCCCGCTTCCAGCTTCCTCTCACCCGTTATTTAACTTCTCATGATTTATGACACGACTCATTTCTCACGCGACATAGCCTTCTCTGCTCCTCCTTTTCTCTGGTTCTCTCGACAAGTCGTTTCTTCTATCTTTTGTTATGCTTATATGTGATTGTTTTTCTATTTTATTTTATTATTTTTTTTGTCATTTTGGTGCCAATCAGCAAAGTAGTAGTTCATACTTCTCTGCTCGAATTTTTAAGTTTCTGCTTTTTAATTGAGAACATCCTTTGAATCAATAAGTTGGCGGGTTTGAGAGCTCTGTTGTTCTTCCCAATTCCTTAGTATCGATAAATTGAAGCATTTTGGGGATTTTCATAGCCAAGCTTATTTCAAAGTTGTGTTTTCAGTTATTTCGTTGTTTTGTTTTTCTTCTTACATAAAGTTCATGTTATTCTTTGATTTTTTCTTGTCATATGCTTACTTTTTGAGCGGCTGTAGGAATGTGATGTTTCATCCATTCAACCACTCAATTTTATCTTTTCTTTTCTTTTTTTATTTAATATTTGCTCTATTTGAGCTTCAACTTGAAAATGATAAATTTTTGAAATAATAATTTTACCTTTAACTTGCTATTTCACTTTTAAGAAGTTAGTGAACGTGATATGTTTGATGTGATGCGAAAAAATTGAGCATTATATATATAAGTACGAAAATTTGTGTGTTAGATATGTTAATGCATAAGAATCGTGTAATGTGTATGGTGTAAATACATAAGTTGGTGATTGGAGTATTTTTTTTTTTTTACTTTTATTTACATTTACTTGTTAAATATTGAATTATTATGTTTTGATTGATTGTTTTGTTTAGCTTATGTTGTTTTAATAGTCATGTTAAAGATGTTTGATTATAAATTTTCAATTATTTAAAATAATATTATATATTTTTTTTATTTAAAAGTTGAATAAATGGATCGTTAGTTAAAAAGAAAAGAAAGAGTGGAAATTAATATAAAGAATCTTCTGACCGACCCTGGACTTTGTTCTTCTATCTGGAGTTATAATGTTAATGATTGAGCTATAGTGTGAAGAGCGTATTTGCTCAAGGAACAACATCAACCAAAAAGTTATAATTTTCCTTAAACTATGATAGGTAACATTGCTCGATGATTTTGTTCAAAATGGTTTGATGATCATCCAACTTGATTAGAGTATAACATGCAAAAAGATGCAATATGTTACTTTTATTATTATCTATTGAAGCTTCAAGAACTCATTGATACAAGTCAATGAGGTGAAGATTCAATTGTTAATGAAAGATATAAAAATTGGAAGGAAAAAGAAAAAAAAAAGTTTAGCTCAAGTTGGAGATCATAACAATACTCGTAATAAGAAAAGAAAAAAAAATATGAAAATCCAAGAAAGCCTTAAGTACAAAGTGTTTCTACTATGTGGTTGAGTAAGGATGAGAGGAATAAAAAATAATATATGATTATATTGATTGTATCTATTAATTGTGTTTGATTTCTTCTATGATAAGAGTTGTCATTTGGTGCGATTGATGAATCATTTGAATCAACTAATCAAGGTAATCATTTGGAGCCATTTCATTTTTTTTTGTTTTTGTGAATCATAATGAAGAAATCAAGAAAGTTAGATTTGAAAATTCCAACATAAAAGTACAACTAATTTCACCAAATGTTCAAAAAAAAAAACTTTATTAAGCTAAGATAATAGACTAGCTTCTATCATGAGAGATATAAGTGATTCTTACTTCTCCATCATAGTTGACGGGTCTTGTGATGTGTCAACAAAGGAACAATTGGTTGTCGCAGTCAGATATATTAATAAAAAGGGGCAAGTTATTAATATATTTGTTCGTGTTAAACATATTTTCTCACTTCAGTTGCACTCAAAACAACTCTTGTATTTATACTTGTAAAACATTCCTTAAGCTTACATAAGATACATGGCCAAGGCTTATGAAAGGGCATCCAATATGCGATGGGATTTTAATGGTTTGAAATCACTCGTTCTTAATAATAATCCTTAAGAATTCTACATTCATTACTTCGTTCATCGGCTTTAATTGTGTTTAGTAAGTAAGATATTTTTTTTGAGTTCACTTCAAGAATCCTAAATACCATTAGAGCTTCTTGTAAGAGGAATAATGCTCTTAAAACAATTCAATCTGAGAAAATTCTTTTGCATCTTAAAGATGAGAAAATAATTAGCAGTGGTGATTCAAAAAACTACTCTGCAAGAAAGCCAGAGACACCGGTTGGAACTCACATTTTTATACTTTAGTTAGTCTTATAGAAATGTATGCATTCGTACTTGAAGTGTTTGAGTTTTATAAAATTAGTTGAAACCCATATTTTAAGTGATGCAATCAAAAGTTTTGACTTTGTTTTCATGGTGCATTAATGATTAATATTTTAAGAGTTGCAAATGAATTATCACAATCTTTACAAAAAAAAAAAGATCAAAATATTGAGAATGCAATGAAACTGGTGCATGTATCAAAATAACGACCACAAATGTTATGGAAGAATGAATTAAATTTCATATTAGAAGTGTCTGATTTTTGTAATGTTTTTTAAATTGACTTTTCAAATATGAACTCCACTTTTAAGGCTTAATGAAGATCAATAGGAAGAGATGAATAAATTACAAATTTTCATCATTATCGTGCTGAGTTGTTCTACACTATGATTATGAGAAAATTTCAAGAGATGAATAATCATTTCTTTGGAGCAAGTACCAAGTTGTTTTTTTTTATAGCTTGTTAAATCAAGTGATTTATTCTCAACTTTTGATAAAAGAAAGCTAATTCATTTTGTAGAGTTATATCCTAATGATTTGTTGAGCTTGTAGCTCTCGTTTATCGGTTATCCACTTATATTATTGATATGTGTTTTAGTGTTGATTTCTCATTTTTAAGAGACAGTGTTGATCTCGTAAAACAACTTATTAAAGCTAGGAAGAATTGTGTATATCATCTAGTTTATGGACTTACTACATTAGCATTAAGTTTACCATTTATTATTGTTATAGTTAATAGGGTTTTGTTCTGCCTTGACGATTATCAAAACATCGATTACATAGTCGAATGAGTGATTACTGACTCAATGATTGTCTTATACCACATATTGAGAAATAAGTATTCGATGAATCTATTGTGCAGTATTATCAATCAATGCCAAACAAATTGAAAAGTTTGTAATTATTGTACAATTATTTAATGATAATGAAATGTAAGCTTTTGTTTTGAATTATGCGCTGTTCAGAACATGATTGGAGTGCATGATTGATAAAAGAGTTGAGTAGAGAAGTTTAGCGCTGTAAATATTAGTTGAGAGACATTTACATGCATAGCACACAATTCTTATATATTTACATATTTCTAGGGTTGTCAAAACGGCTTCTTGTTCGCGAACAGCTCGTGTTCGGCTCGTTAAGAAACTCATGTTCGGTTCGTTAAGAAGCTCGTTCACTCAATTCCTATGTTTTTACATATGAACACCTAACCTTCAATTTCTTTCCATATATACCACATCTCCTCTGCATGAATAGTTATATTTCACCTTTGACATGAAATATTTGTGTGGTATAGTTGTAAAAAACAAAATATAGATGTCATTTATGTAAATACATGGGAATTGGGTGGCATGTATGTAAATGCCCCTAAAATTGTCTACTAACCAAACAAAGCATCATTTTGTAGGTGTGTTTAGGTTATACTTTCCAACCAAATTATCCCCCACAAATCAAGCACTGAATTAGTTAATGAAATCATTAGCATGCTCAAAGTGCCAGCAAAGAGGGTTGATTTCAGAGAGACAGATTGAAACCTAAGCAAGCATCAGGTCATATGCGCAGGCCTAAGGTCTAAGAGCGAGAAATTATTACATACGGCGCTACGTGCGTACTCCAATAATATACTGTCACGTGCGTTATATCGGGCCCACCTCCAGCGGAGATTATTGAAGCGGAACCGCGGTGGTTATTGGTCTGGTAATTGAGGGTTATTGAAGCATTAATTCTAATAACGCCGCAATAACCTCTCAATAATCTCCCAATAACCTCCTCTGTTACACTCTCAATAACCTCTGCGATTACACTACGCAATAATCTCAAAATAACACCCAAATAGCCACCCAATAATCTCCGCCCCATGCATAACCCCCGCAATAATCTCTTAATAACACCTCAATAAACCCTCAATAATCTCCGCAATTTCATTTCAATAACCTCCATGTGACGGTATATTACTGGAAGTCCGCACGTAGAGCTGCATAAATGTTTCATATGGAATAATTTTTCCTAAAGAGCAGACACTAAAGCTCTCCCACAAAGAAGAAAAGTTAAACTGTTGAAAAAGAAGCACAAGCTGATCGCCAGCACAATGATGTTGTACAAGAAAAGGATTGCTGAATTGTCTCTACAAAGTTGTCTCATAAACTTTTATCATTAGCTTTTGCTTTTGATGTTCTTTGTCTATAATTTTCTTATTTTTTTAATTTTTTATTGTCTAAGATTTTTTATTATGTGTTTTTATTCTATTTCAATCAATATTTTACAAAAGCAGTTTTATGGATTTCATTCTTATAAATTTCAAGTATTCATATCTGGCAGCTCAAAACAGAGCAAGCATGTTGAATACTAAGAACTATAAATAGCCAAACAAGTTCCTGAATTGGGGAACACAGCATTAAATTTTAAAGGTTGATATTTTCATTTTAGGTTCCTTTATAGGACACTTATAATCCCCATTTAAACAAGAAAATGCACTTTATACACAAATATCTAGTCTCATCCGTCGAAGTAATGAGTTCAGCTAGTTCCATGTCTTGCTCGAGAAGATAACCTCAAATCAATCCCATTTAAGATGACAATTCGAGGAGGCCACCATGGCCTCAGACACCCGTCTTTCTCTCATTTAAGGATTTAGTCTCATCACTCGGGTACTGGAGACAGTCGCTGTACCGACAGTTTCTGATATTAGCCGGCAATATGTCATGATCTCGACATCTATTTTCTATCGAGATATCAGGAAAAAGTCAATGAT